GCTTCCCGCGGAGCAGGGAGCCCGATGCGGGGCTCGATGCCATGACTCCGGGATCATGACCTGAGCCGAAGGCAGATGCTCAACGACTGAGCCACCCAGGCGCCCCTTAATGAAATAAACATTTGAAAAACAAATTGATACTAAGAAATATGACAAGAATTGAAAGAAATCCAAAAACATCAGGAATTGTGAAAAGCAGACCCAAATAAATACAGATGCAAGCCATTTTTTATATAGAAAGTTTAGATACTATAAATACAACTACTACAAAAAGACAATTTGTGTATTTCAAACAAAAATGCTAATATTACTGAGGTTACTAATTCAAATTGAGAGCCCAAAAATAAACACACACTTATCATTTAATCTATGACAAAGGAGGTGGTGGGGAAAAGACAGTCTCTCCAATCAGTGGTATTGGGAGAACTGGACAGCTACATGGCAAAAAAATGAAACTGAACCACTTTCTTACACCATTCAGAAAAAAATAAACTGAAAATGGATTAAAGACCTAAATATAAGACCTGAAACCATGAAACTAAAAGGAAAACAGGTAGTAATGGCATGGATATCAACCTTAGCAATATTCTTTTGAATCTGTCTTCTCAGACAAGGGAAACAAAAGCAAAACTAAACAAATGGGACTAAATCAAACTAAAAAGCTTTTGCATGGCAAAGCAAGCCATCAACAAAAGAAAAAGGCAAAGATATTTGCTAATGATGTATCCAATTTGGGATTAATATCCAAAATATATAAAGAACTCCATACCTCAACACCAAAAATCCCTAAAAAGTCCAGTTAAAAATTGGCAGAAGACCTGAATGGACATTTTTCCAAAAGACCTGTGAAAGAATGCTCAATATGACTAATCATCAAGGAAATGCAAATCAAAACCACAATGAGGTATCAGTCAGAGTGGCTAGTATCAAAAAGACAAGAAATAAGCGTTAGCAAGGATATGGAGAAAAGGGAACCCTCATGCACTGTTAGTGGGAATGTAAATTGGTGCAGCTACTCTGGAAAGCAATACTGAAGTTCCTAAAAAAAACTAAAGATAGGGGCGCCTGGGTGGCTCAGTCATTAAGCATCTGCCTTCGGCTCAGGTCATGATCCCAGGGTCCTGGGGTCCAGACCCACATTGGGCCCCTGCTCAGCAGGAAGCCTGCTTCTCCCTCTCCCACTCCCCCTGCTTGTGTTCCCTCTAAATAAAATCTTTAAAAAAACTAAAAAATAGAATGACACAGCCCAATAGCTCCAATTCTGGATATTTACCTGAAGAAAACAAAACACTAATTCAAAAAAAGAAGTGTACCCCTTTATTTATTGCATTATTTACAGTAGACAAGATATTGAACCAAAGTGTCCATTGATAGATGAATGGATAAAGATGTGATACACACACACACACACACACACACACAATGGACTATTACTCAGCCATTAAAAAAAAAATCTTGCCATTCTGATGGAGAAGGATACCGCATGATTTCACTTACATGTGGAATCTAAAAAAAAAAAACCACCACCAAGGAGAGAAATTGACTCATAGAAAACTAGTGGTTGCCAGGGAGGAAGGGGTAGGGGGATAGGCAAAATAAGTGAAGGAGATTAATTAGTACAAACTTCCCATTATAAAATAAGGAAGTCACAGAGATGAAAAGTACAGCATAGGTAATATAGTCAATATTGTAATGATTTTGTATGGTGACAGATGGTAACTACACATATGGTGAGCATTTCATGATGTATGTGTCAAATCAATATGTTATACATCTGAAATATATTACATGTCAACTATACCTCAAAAATGTTTTTAAAAAGAAAAAATGTATTCTAAAGGGTAATAAATGTAAGTTTATTGAGAAATCTTACATTTATATCTAACAACTTATTCTGGAAAGGAAACCAGAATGGGTTAGTGGTACACAGTAGACAGCCTGGGAACACATCTGACATCTATATATTGGTAAACTTTTATAAACATATATGTATTAAATTTGATTATCAACTTGTAGAGAAAATAATGAAATAAAATATTAAGATGGATTGCAAATGAGAAAGAAAAAACTCAATTTATATCTCAGATCAAATAGAAAATTAACTGCATCAAGCTGAACATGGAAACAAAAAGCCTAAGATTATTTAAGAAAAAAAAAATTTTTTTAACAAACCTGCACTTGAAATGTGCGAGTCATTACAAGACCCCAATTTAAAACCACAGAATACGCTTTTCACTTTTTTAAAATAAAAATATATGCAGAATACAAAGACAACTAAAAAATTTAATCACAAAAAAGACTTATGTAATGTAAAAAGAACTATTTTCAGTATCCATACAAGCTATTAAAGTTTTAAGACAGGCAATTTTTGTGAAAACTACCCAGTATATGGAGATACACACAACTATACAATATAATTTGTGAAAATTTCATTTTGATTTCAAAATTTACCTTTAACACATTCAAAACTAAAGTGGACTGAAATTTTTAAATGTTTCAAAAACATTCTAATTGTAGAAAACATAGTTATATATTTATTACTTTATCATTTCTACTTTATATCAGCCACGTTTCACTGAATGTTTTAAAAATGTATTTGGAAGCTTTCCAGTGCACTCTAACAAAATTCATTAAAATAAGAATGCTTTTTGTTTTTCCAAGTGGTCATTTGTTGTATACATCATGTTAAACAGTTTAAGTTTTAAATAAGTAAAACTTGCATTGAATTTTTGGGGAAAAAAAATGACTCTTAATGAACCAAAACATAGCTATGTGAAAAGAATCTCTGGTGTGTGGCATAACATACCTTTATAGTGTTGATCATTTCGCATTTAAGCATCACAAATCAAATTTGTCTGAAGAGAATTCATCTGGCAGGGCAAGCAGAGGTCCATAAGAAGAGCTCTCTCAGTACATATGAAAATGAATCAGGGCACCTGGGTGGCTCAGTTGGTTAACCATCTGACTTCAGCTCAGGTCATCATCTCAGGGACTTGGAATCAAGCCCTGCATGGGGCTCTCTGCTCAGCGGGAAGCCTGCTTCTCCCTCTCCTCCTCCCCCCACTGGCGTGTGCTCTATCTCAATTAAAAAAAAATATTTCTGTGATAATCCACCAATTGGTTATCATGCTCTTGGTGTCACAGAGTGATTCAGAAGAGAAAATAAGCTAGGTCACACATAGATGGATTAGACAAAATTGCACAGTAAATATATTGATTTATGTGGCACTCTATAGAATGAACAAAACTTAGGATATTACTAATGCAATATAAATGCCAATAACTGAGAGCTAAGCACAGTAAGAACTGTGAAAAGGAAAGTTATGTTAATATTTATATTAAAAACTTGATATAAAAACATTATATACAAGCTCAAAATCCCATGGAATTCTGTCATGAGTAAGTGATCAGTGTTTTGTTATTTTATTGATGCTCCCAGGGGCCAAGGTAAACACCATCATCACTTCTATGTCATAGTCAGCAAACTGAGGTTCAAGGGGCTCTGGGGAGTTGTCCAGATATTCCCAGGAATCCACAGAGACCTCAGTACTGTGCAGACCCTCCTCCCTGCAGGTGGATTTTGGAGACTGACCTGGATTAGGGGCTCCTGAGCAGCTCAATTCCTGACACACCTGGGGGCACAGTGGTCTGGTGGTGGTAACAGGGAGAGCTGTAGGGGACTGGCTCTAGGATGCTCCCCACAGGTAGAACTATACAGGAATGGACACCTCAACTCTTCACAATTTCCAATGGACCAGGGATGAGGCAGCTCCTAATTCCCATTTTACATAGGATGAAACTGAGGCCCTGGATGGGGGCACGTGCCTGTGGGTCTAATTAATGACCTCTACATCACCCCCTAGCCAGGCTTTGGGGCTCAAAGTAAAGCCCAGCCCATACTGATGCAACCTTGTCCCCCATCTGCTCCAACCCACCAACCCCAGTGGTGATAAACCAGGAAAATGGGTAACCACTACTAGGCAAGGCTTTATTGTATTCTTCAATGACTGGACTTGAGAATGTGATGGAGAGGGGCCCCTTGGTGGCTCAGGCGGTTGTGACTGCCTTTGGCTCAGGTCATGATCCCAGGATCCTGGGATTGAGCCTCAAGTCGGGCTCCCCGCTCAGCCGGGAGTCTGCTTCTCCCTCTCTCTCTGCCCCACCCTGCCCCCCACTAGTTCTTGCTCTCTCCCTCAGATAAATAAAATCTTTAAAAAAATGTGATAGAGGTATGTGAGCGGCTTAGTCTGTTAAGCATCTGCCTTCGGCTCAGGTCATGATCTCTGGTTCCTGGGATCCAGTCCCACATCTGGCTTCCTGCTCAGCAGGGAGTCTGCTGCTCTCTCTCTCTACCTCTGCCCCTCCCCACTGCTCATTCTAATAAATAAATTAAAAAAATAAAAAAAGAATGTGATGGAGAACATGTTAATGCAGAAAAAATTTAAAAGGCTACAGCTGTTCAATCCGTTGTGAATAGCGCATGCACACGCACACACACTTGTTTCATTGTCCTATCTGCTAAAGGAAAATAGCCGAAGCTCAAAGAATAAGAAAAAGATATGCGCAGGCATTTTACCAAAGTTGTAGATAGCAAATGAGCATCTGAAAAAATGCCCATTGTGAATCCTTACAGAAATGCAATTAAAACAAAATGAGAGAACACTAAAAACTTATTAAAAAGGCTAAAATTAAAATGGCCAAATGAAGTATTCAGAATATGGAGGAAATGGAACTCTCATACACTGCTGGGAAGATGCAAAAGGTATAATCAAAAGTAAAACATTTACCTGTCCTGTAACCCAGACATTTCACTCTTAAGTTCCTGACAGAAGATCAAAGAAACATACATTCACATAAAGAACACAAATGTTTATGCTAGCTTTATCTTAAATAGTCAAAGTCTAGAAAAAACCCAAATCCCCATACACAGATAAATGGATAAACTGGTATATCCAAAAATACTACTCAGCAAAAAACACAAAAAACCCGACGACCCATATAGTATCATTGATGAATCTCAAATAATTGTGACACATAAGGAAAAACAAAATACTCAATTCCAAACATAGATTCAAAAAATTCAAAGGTATCCATCCACCTATTTTAAGAGAAAGTAAATCAGTGGTTACCTGAAGGGTGGGAGGGGCAAGGGAGATTATAAAAGGACATGAGGTAAACATAATGTGACAGATACGGTCATTATCAGGACTATGATGATGGTTTCAGAAGTTCGTAACTATATCAAAACTCGCCAAATTATACTGTAAATATATGCAGATTAGTACATATAAACCATATCTCAATAAAGCTTTAAAAATGGCTCAAGACAATGTCTTTGTCCCACTTTTTGGAAAATAGGTTTGACAACCCCACACGGACTCCATCTCTCTTTCTCATGCCTACGAAGATACTACCCCAGTGGCAGCAGATGTGGAGAACAATGAAGAATATTTCTAAACAAGTCAAAAGGAATGCTTCCTGGGTCACAAGTGCCATATCCCAGAAATACAGATCCCCCTTTATCTTTTTTCCCCGCATCTGTGGTAGTGGCTTTGAGGCAAACATCACTGAGAGAAAACCACAGAACCTTTTGATTATTTTAGTTTTTATTTTTTTCTCTGACAATGACTACCTACACAAGATAAATATGCCTGGAGGTCCTGAGATTTGTATACACACTGATTCTACAGTCACTGTCACAGAAACTTGTCTGGATCCATTTTTAGAAGAGGCACATTCTACTTAGATGCAGTCTCCTCCACTTCCTATTAAGCCAGGTTTCTGTACCAATTATGGCTTCCCCTGCACACTGTGGTTCTTAAAACCAGTGACCCTAGCCCAACAGATTGTGGACATCAGGGCACATAGCTGTTTGTAAAGCTGAAGAACATAACCCCTCAACAATGCTGACATCCCCTGTGATGTCTCCTTTGAGTAAGGGGAAGAAATTCCTGCTCCTTTCAGAAGCATCTGAGGATCTCACAACTGCCCCCTCCTTGGGGGTCATCACTGAAACTCCTAAAACACAAAGCATCCAGATCTCAAATGAAAACCAGAAAGCCCTGCAGCTTTTCAGAGGTTGTAGGGCAGCAATGCAAATTTGGTCAAAACTGGCAAGCTATTTTCTGCCATCCTCAAGTACAGACAATTTTAGACTCCTAAAAAGTTCACCCAGTGATGCTTGTTGAGCCCAAATCCGTATATAAACTACCCCACAGAGTAAGTAGAACATCTAAGATTAAAGAGTACTTAAAGAGTAAGACCTTGATAGTCACATAAGCCAAAGCAATGTGCGGCATTTACCGTTTTGGACTTGGAAGCTGAAAAAACTCATCACAAGTGTCACATGAGACTAACATGTCCCTGAAAAAGGTAGTCATTCTCTGTAAGCTGCCAGCCAAACCCATATTTCCTGGGTCATCAGTGATTCAGGTCCATACCCAAGGTACTTAAGGAGATGGGGAAGCTGACCCCAAGGGCTCAGGTTATACCTAATTTGTTCTAATTCATGAGAGAACAAAGGTCAGCTTCACTGAATACATTGTGGAGGTGATGGATGCATACTTTGTGGACCTGCCAGGCAGGAGAGGTGAAAAGGCTTTGGTCACAAATCTAGCAGTGAGCTAAATCTAGAAAGAGCCCTGGACAGCTTAGAAAGTGCAACATATTTACACAAGCTTACTACAGTACTGAAACTTCCAAGGGATATCCCACTGTGCATGTTTAGATATCTGAGATTCAGTTCAGATAGATGGCTCCTCAGCGTTCCCTCCAGTGTTGTTAACAGTAAATAGGAAATTACACATTCCCTGCACACCTAAGGCCTTTCTCTAGTGTGAACTCTTTGATGTTGAGAGAGGGTAGATTTTCGTGTAAAAAACTTCCCACATTCACTACACTCGTAAGGCCTTTCTCCAGTATGACCTCTCCGGTGTTGACTGAATTGGGAACTATCCCTGAAGGATTTTCCACATTCACTGCACTCATAAGGCCTTTCTCCAGTGTGAACTCTCTGATGATAACGTAGTTTGGAGCTGGAGATAAAAGATTTTCCACATTCACTACACCTGAAAGGCCTATCTCCTGCATGAACTCTCTGATGATAACGAAGGGTAGAACTGGAGGTAAATGATTTCCCACATTCGCTGCATTCATAAGGCCTTTTACCTGCATGAACTCTCTGATGATAAGAGAGGGTAGCGCTACTGGTAAAAGACTTTCCACATTCACTGCACACATAAGGTCTTTCTCCTGTGTGAACTCTCTGGTGTCGAATCAGTATTGAGCTATTGGTGAAAGATTTCCCACATTCACTGCACTGATAAGGTTTTTCTCCCCTATGAACTCTATGATGATAACCAAGGCCAGAGACAGATGTAAAAGATTTCCCACAAGCACTACACTCATAAGACCGTTCGCTATTATGAATTCTCTGGTGTATTGACAGGGAAGATTTTTGGCTAAATGTCTTCCCACATTCACTGCATTCATAAGGCCTTTCTCCCGTGTGAGTTCTCCGGTGTTTATTGAATTGTGATCTATCCTTAAAGGATTTCCCACATTCAGTGCACTCATAAGGCCTTTCTCCACTGTGAACTCTGTGATGATAACGAAGGCTGGCACTAAAAGTAAAAGATTTCCCACATTCACTGCACTTGTAAGGCCTTTCTCCTGTGTGAACTCTCTGATGATAACGGAGAGTGGAACTGGAGGTAAAAGACTTCCCACATTCATTGCATTCATAAGGCCTTTTACCTTCATGAACTCTTTGGTGGTAACAGAGCGTGGAGCTACAGGTAAAAGATTTCCCACATTCACTGCACACATACGGTTTTTCTCCTGTGTGAACTCTCTGGTGTTGAATGAGCGTCCACCTATTGTTAAAAGATTTCCCACATTCACTACACTTGTAAGGCCTTTCTCCTGTGTGAACTCTCTGATGTAAAATGAGGTTATTTCTTCGGATAAAGGATTTCCCACATTCACTACACTCGTAAGGCCTTTCTCCAGAATGAACTCTATGATGATAATGGAGGTCAGACCTAGAAATAAAAGATTTCCCACATTCACTGCACTCATAAGGCCTTTCTCCAGTATGAACTCTCTGGTGATAACGGAGGGCAGAACTAGTGGTAAAAGATCTCCCACATTCACTACACTCATAAGGTCTTTCTCCAAGGTGACCTCGATGATGATACTGGAGAGTGGAGCTACACGTAAAAGATTTCCCACATTTACTGCACACATAAGGCTTTTCTCCTGTGTGAATTCTCCGGTGTCGAATGAGTGTCCACCTATTGTTAAAAGACTTCCCACATTCACTACACTCATAAGGCCTTTCTCCAGTGTGAACTCTGTGGTGGTAACGCAGGCTGGAGCTAAAGGTAAAAGATTTCCCACATTCACTACACTCATAAGGTCTTTCACCTGAGTGAACTCTTAGGTGTATAATGAGGTTATTTCTTCGAGTAAAGGACTTGCCACATTCACTGCACTCGTAAGGCCTTTCTCCAGTGTGAACTCTGTGATGATAACGGAGAGCAGTACGAGTGATAAAAGATTTCCCACATTCACTGCACTCATAAGGCCTTTCTCCCGAATGAACTCTCTGATGATAACGGAGGTCAGACCTAGAGATAAAAGATTTCCCACATTCACTGCATTCATAAGGCCTTTCTCCTGTGTGAGATCTCTGATGATAACTGAGGGCAGAGATAGAGGTAAAAGATTTTGCACAGTCACTACACTTGTAAGGCCTTTCTCCAGTTTGAACTCTACATGGAATCAACACTGAGCTATGGCTAAAAGATTTTGCACATTCACTGCACACATAACTGTTTTCTCCATTGTGCCATTTCTGGGGATGAATGAGGACAGATTTGTGGCTTAAGGATTTCCCACATTTGCTGCACTTGTATTGCCTGGACCCAGTGTGAGTCTTTCCATGTTGACTGAGGGTTGAGCTCTGCCTAAGGGATTTTCCGCATTCACCAAACTCATGATGTCTTTTTCCAGTATGGAATCTCTGGTGTATAGCAAATGAAGATTTGTACCTGAATGTCTTCCCACATTCATTGCACACAAAACTGTGGTCCTGAACAAGTGTGTGTTTGGGACCAAAGGCTTTCTTGAATTCTCCCCAGGTGTAATGACTTTTTTTGCTTTGTAAAGATGCCCTGCACTGGGTGATTGTGTGTGGCTTCTCCCCAGTATGTGTGGCCTCTTGATGCAGATGCCCCAAGCTAGACAGGAAGTCCTTCTCAACCTCTCCACAGGTAAAGGGCTTTCCTGAATCATGGATTCTGCAGCTCTTCACAAAAGAGGCCTTGTCCACACTGCATCTAAACGGTTTCTCTCCCACGTGCTGCTCCTGCTGCTGAGACTTTATGTTGAAATAAAATCGTTTCGCACATGCCCCACACCTCATCAGTTTCTGGTTGTTTTCTTTTCCCTGGTGCACAGCCAAGTGGAAAATGTCTCTCAAGACTGGACCACACATCTCACAGGGGTGGGTCTTCCGGGAAGACAGAGCTGCCTTGGGCGTCCTGGTCTGTGACACACCTATAGAAGTGCTCTGTTCAAAAGGTGCCTCCGTATCCTCTGCTCCACAGCAGCAACCTGAACGCAAAGAAATGCTGGTGAAATATGTGTTGACTACAGTGAAGGGGTGAGCCCATCACATATATGCATCCATCTCATCTAGGCAAGAGTATATGACATGCTTTTCCAGACACAGCAGTTGGAATTCAGTTGAAGGAACAGCCACTGTGCATTATTTGACCCCTAAGGCCACAGAATGGTGGAGACCTCACCAGGGGAAGGATACAAAGACAGGATATGAGACAAGAAAGAGAGGCAAGGACTACAACTCATTTCTCTGCCAAGAGTCTTTGGCAGGACCTTTGCTACTGCTGATGTGAGGCTGGGTAAAAGCATGCATCCAAGCCCATTAAAACCCAACTGTAACAAATTAGCTGCTGTTCAATGTCAAGTTAGGGATGTGTGAACATCTCATGGCCAATGCTGGAGTACAGAAACAGTGAGAGAAATGGGTGAGATGTGGAGTCGAGAGGTAGAGATTATCCCTGTGCTGGAAATCATAGTAGAAATGATGAGAGAACTGACAAATTGGCAAAATGTCAAAATGGAAATGAGAAAGTAGAAATGAAGTGTGGCCACTGAAAACGGCATGAAAGTGTGGGTGAATAAAGACAGGTTCACCATGGGGGACCTGGCGTGATCTGAACACTCTCTCCATCCATTGACCAGGACCATGCCCCTCTGAGTCCACTCTGTCATGTCTGGAGTCCTGCCCATCCTCTGATACACAAAGGATTCTTCCCTGTAAGCCTTGAGCAACTACATGGGACATGGACGATACAAGTCCTAAGGGAAAAACAGCACAAATGAAGAGCCAGCACTATCCCGGGCTATTCAGCACAAAAGACAGCAAGGTGATGTCAGCATAATAGCAGAGGAAACCAGCCTTTGCCCTTGGCAGGTTTAAGAGTCAATTAAGATACCGCAGGGGCACCTGGGTTAGTTAAGCATCTGCCTTCGGCTCAGGTCATGATCCCAATGTCCTGGGATTGAGCCCTGCATCAGGCTCCCTGCTCAGGGGGGAGTGTGCTTCTCCCTCTCCTTCTGCCACTCCCCCTGCTTGTATTACACTCACTCTCTCTCTCAAATAAATAAATAAAATCATTAAAAAAAAAAAAACTACTACAGTGACACAATGGAGCACACAAAAAGGAGAATAACCACACAGGAAGGATTGATGGGGACACTGGCTTAGTGAAGACAGCTGGATATAGGCAGAAAATAAGAAGGGTGGGGCTGTGTCAGCCAAAGGACTGATGCCACTGCATTCCCCCCTACTCTGCAGGGCACCTCAGCAGCCTCTGCTGCAGAGAACATCAACAAGTCCTGCTATAGTGGCAGAACATCACAGATTACACAGCAGAGGTGTCCAAGTGTTTGTGGGCATGGACCATGAGAAAAACTCATACAGGGGAACTCCCCTCCCCCTCATAAGGATATGAGCAGTTTTCTCAGCTATAACACTGAATACTAAGAGAAAGTGGGATGATGGGTTCTAAATGCTGCAACAAAGAAACTGCAAACCAAAAATACTTTTACCAGCAAAGCTGTCCTTCAGAAATGAAGGAGAAAGACTTTCCCAAACAGAAGCTGAGGGAGTTCATCACCACTTGACCTACCCTACAAAAGATACTAAACACAGTTCTTCAAACTAAAATGAAAGTATGCTAATTAGTAACATGAAAATATAGAACACACTGATAAATGCAACTGTATAGTCATATTCAAAATATAGGAGTCTGTCCTTATCTATTTCACTTTCCATGGTTTCAGTTACCCACGGTCAACTATGGTCCAAAAGCAAATGATCCTCCTTCGTTATAACATACTGTCAGAAGGTCAATAGTAGCCTAATGCTATGTCACAAAGCCTAAGTCATTCACCTCACTTCATCTCATCATTTAGGCATTGTATCATCTCACACCATCACAAGAAGGGTGAGTATGGTATAATAAGATATTTGGAGAGAAACAGAACACATTTACATAACTTTTACTGTACTATTAATATTATTATATTTTATTATTATTTATTGTTGTTAATCTCTTACTGTACCTAATTTATAAATTAAACTTTATCATAGGTATGTATGTATAAGAGAAAACATACTATGTATAGGGTTCAGTACTACCTGAAGTTTCAGGCATCCACTGGGAGTCCTGGAACATATCCCCCCCGTGCATAACAAGGGATTACTATACTCTAATACTTTAATAGTGTGTTAATCACTCAACACCAGTAAGGAGGACAAAAGACTATTAAAAATAACTGTATCTACAACAATCTGTGAATGGTTACAAAATATAAAAAGATGTGGGGTGCCTGGGTGGCTGGATGAGTTAAGCATCTGCCGCCTTCTGCTCAGGTCATGATCTCAGGGTCCTGGGATCAAGCCCCCCCTCCCACTCCCTCTGTCGGGCTCCCTGCTCAGTGTGAAGTCTGCTTCTCCCTCTGGCCCTCCCTGCTGCTCGTGCTCTCTCTCAAATAAATAAATAAAATCTAAAAAAAAAAAAAAATGTAAATGGTGACATTAAAAACAAAAAACGTGAAGGAGGTGAGTAAAAGTTTTTGTATGCAAGTAAAGTTATCAGCTTCAAACAGAATGTTATAAGATGACTTAAAGAAGCCTCATGGTAACCAAAGCAAAAACCTACAGTAGAAACAAAAGATAAACGAATGAAAGCATAACACCATGGGAAATCCTCAAATCACAAAGGAAGACAGCGAGAGAGGAAGAAAGGTGCTACAAAACACTCAGACAATAATTAACAAGATGGCAAAAGAGATACCATGGCTGAACTCAAAACAAAAGGTTGAAAGTGAAGGAACTGAAAAAGATATTCCACACAAATGGAAACCAAAACAGAATATGGGTAGCTGTACTTATAGGTGATACGACAGACTTTAAGTCAACAACTGTCACGAGACAAGGTCATTATATAATGATAAAGGAATGAATTCACCAATAAGATGTAAAAATTGTAAGTATGTATGCATCACACATCAGAGCATCTAAGTTAAGTCTTGAGCAAATTCAACTACATCTGAAGGCAAAAAAGACAGCAATTGAATATTAGTATCAATATCCCCCTTTCAATAATGGGTGGATATCCAGACAGAAAATTAGTAAGGATATATCTGAATTGAACATTCTGGTCCAAATGGATCAAACAGACATATACAGAACATTCCATCCACTACAGCAGCTTACACATTCTCAAGTGCACACAGAATATTCTCTGGGATAAATCTTATGTTATGTCAAACAAGTCTTAACAAATTTCAGAAGACTGAAATTCTATCATGTACCTTTTCCTAACAATGAATAAAACTAGAAATCAGTAACATGAGGAAGGGGTGACTGGCTGGCTTAGTCAGTGGAGCCTGCAACTTGGTCTCGGGGTTGAGTTCGACCCCTCATGGGTGGGGAGAGTACCTAAAAAAATAAGATTTCTTTTTTTAAAATAAAATCTTTAAAAAAAAACACAAAAAACCATGAGGAAGCTTAATAATTCAAATATGTGGGCATTAAACAACACATGCCTATACAATCAATTGGCCAAAGGAAAAGTCAAAAGCAAAATAAAAAAGTACCTTGAGAAAAACAAAAGTGGAAACAAAACATGGAATGTGAAAAAGCAATTGTAAGAAAAAAGTTTAGAGCACTAAGTGCCAGCAACTAAAAAAATCAATTAATAAATAAAGCTCTCAAACAGCCTAACTTTACACCTTAAGGAACTAGGAAAAGAACAAACTAAGACCAAAGTTAGTGAAACAAAGGCAAAGACAAAGATCAGAAGTAAAATAAAAACTAGAAATACAATAAAAAGAGCTGCTTTTCTGAAAAGATAAAATTGAAAAACCTTTAGCTGGACTAACTTAGAATAAAGGCAAGACTCAAAAAAGAGGAGAAATTACAACTGATAGCAGAGAAACACAAAGGATCATAAAAGACTAATATGAACTATTATATGCCAACAAATTAGATATCCTAGAATAAATTCCTAGAAACATACAACCTATCAAAACCGAATCATTTTTTTCTTAAAGATTTTTTTTTTTAATTTATTTATTTGACAGAGAGCAGGAGAGCACAGGCAGGGGAGCGGCAGAGGGAGAGGGAGAAGCAGGCCCCCACTGAGCAGGGAGCCTGATGTGGGGCTCCCAGGACCCTGGGATCATGACCAAAGCCGAAAGCAGATGCTTAACTGACTGAGCCACCCAGGTGCCCCCCAACACTGAATCATAATAGAAAATCCAAATAGACAAGGAAATTGAAATCAGTAATCAAAAATCTCCCAACAAAGAAAAGATCATGACCAGATAGATTCAGTGATGATTTCTATCCACATTTTAAATATTAAATTCTCAATTTCTTCCAAAAATCTGAAAAGGAAGGAATATTTTCAAACTCATTTTAGGAGACTAATATTAGGACACCAAAACCAGGGAAGGACGTTACAAGAAAACAAAATTACACACCAACATCCCTAATGAACACAGATGTAAAAGAGCTCAACAAAGTACTAGCAAATCAAATTCAACAGTATAGGAAAAGAATCATAAACTGTGATCAAGTGAGATTTATCCCTGGGATACAAGGGTGGTCTCCTCATAAGTAAATCAATAAATGTGCCATATCTTATTAACACAAAGAAGGCAACTCATATGATCATCTGAATAGATGTGGAAAAAGCATTTGACAAAATTCAGAATTCTTTCACAATAAAAACTCCCCCAAAATTAGGTATAGAAGTTATACACCACAATATCACAAAGGCCATATATAAGCCCACAGCTAAGAACACATTAAACAGTGAAAAGGTAAAAACTTTCCCTCTACTATCAGGAAAAAGACAAAGATGCCTATGCTCATAACTGCTATTCAAAATGGTACTGGCAGTCCTATCCAGAGCAATCAGACAAGAAATAGAAAGGTCTCCAAATCAGAAAAGAAATAAAACTATTTGCAGATGACATGGATTTTATATAAAGAAAACCCTTAAAAGTTCACCAAA